GGGGTCATTAGCCCTAAATCTGCCAAGACCAAGGCACAGCTATGAACTCTGGGCTAAGGTTTGCCCAAATCCCAGCACAGTTCCTAGTGAGAAGCAGGATTATACTGAATGGCACATGATAAAATGAAATTCTCCACCTGCAGTGAATGAGGTGTCCCTTTTTGATGCCATCACCAGCATTTTTCTTGCAGAAGTTCCAGTGAATGATACTGGGGTGGAGGTGTGGGAAGTTGTATTATTTATACATAAATCCAAGCTTGTGTGGCAATGAAAAGAATTACCTTTCTCCTTAGTGTAAAATAAGCCTCCTCTCTTCATTATAGCTTTAATTTTGAAGGGAAAGGAAGTTATTAATTAACAAAAGTTAATGCTTTTAATTAAACATTTGTTCTATTTTCACATGTGCACACAAATTTGCATAAAGATATAACTAAACCTGCTGAGAGTATAATAGAAGCTTTGTTTTGCTATGTAGAGAGCACAACTGATCACAAGAATTAAACCAAAATTGGTCAATATATTTAGTACATATTCTTGAGTACATCTAATATCTGTATTACACAATACAGTAAATAACTTTATTTTTGCCAATAAAATGTAGCTTAACCCTTCTTTAAATTTCTATCACCGATAAAAATCAGACAACAAATTTAATAATAATTTTTAAAATGTCATTTTTTCCAAAATTTACTTTAAAGATTATCTTAATTTTAATCTCCTAGCAACTCTGAAGAAAAAGCGTTTTTCTTATTAATGAACTGAGCTTTCGAGAGATTCGCATGTATAGCTCTTATTAAACACGTTGGTAATAATAATAGCTTAAGCTCTATCTCAGCAGCTTACTCTTGGACAGGTACCAAGAGTATAGATGATGTGTCAAAGATGAGTCAGAATATAAAAGGATTTCAGAGCTGTAGAAAACAGTAAATATCTGCCTGGATGAATGGTAGAGCACATATTTGCATTATGGTGGCCATTCACCAAGAGGCACAAGGGCATTCTGCCTCACTTGCTCTTATTGGATGAGAGCCTAAGGAGCATTCAGAACGTTAAAAATATAAACAGTGCACCAAAATATTTTGTATTATATATAGATGAATAATTTGTGTCTATATATATCCATATTTACATTTTAATGCATGTAAATAAGTTGATATGTATGTTTTCTTTTTCTCTCCAGTCCTAAGCAAACACCAGTCTACTTTCTGTCTCTGTAGGTTTCCCTATCCTAGATTTTCATATGAATGGGATCATATAATACGTGGACTTTTGTGGCTGACTTCTTTCACTTAGCATATTTTCAAGGTTCATCCAAGTCACAGCATGTAACAGTATTTCATTCCTTTTCATGGCCCAATAATATTCCACTGCACTATATTTTGTTTATTCATTCATCCACTGATAGACAGTTGGATTGTTTTCGCCTTTTGACTGTTTTGAATAATGTTGCTATATGTGCAAGTTTTTGTGTGGGCATAGGTCATCATTTCTCTTGGATATACATGTAGGGGTGGAATTGCTGGGTCGTATGGTGACTCTAGTCATTTGAGGAACTGCGAGACCATTTTTCAAATTGTCTGCATCCTTCTATATTCCCACCAGCAATACATGAAGTTTCCCATTTCTCCACATCCTAGCTTGGATATACCTTTAAGCAATATTGCTTTGCTAAGAATGGTGGAATAGAAGGAAAGGAGGGCAACACCCCGAGGACCTAGTAGAGGCCACACAGCTTTGGACAGCCTACTTTCCAATTCTTTTAAAGTGAGAGAAAATAATCTCTATCTCATTTAATCCACTGTTATTCTGGGTCTCTGTTAATGGCAGCCTAACACAATTCCTAATTCATGTGGTCCTGTTAACACATCTGGAAACTGGGAAGCCCTCAAAAAACTCATTGAATATGTACGGATATTTTCTGTGGAAAAGTTTCTTTGTGATCCTGTTACACTCTGGAAAATGCACATTATTTCTTTCACAATTTAAGATTCCATCATTCAATAGCCGTTCTCTTCTTAGAAATTGTTTCCGGTTCTCAATAGCACATTGTGGGTGCTCTGCAAGATTGAAACAACAACTTGATACCCGGAAACAATGGAAGTGTTATAGATGGAGCAGTTTTTTAAATGGGAAGGAAAAGTACTCACTGTGGCGATGTAGGATGAGCACCAGTTTATTATTTCCTCCCTCAAGTATTATCCCAAATGTTAGGACAACACAAATAATGATGAAAAGTCATTTAAAGCTTTATCTTAAACTCTAGGAGCCCAAGGAATCTCAGTGCCATGTTGACTAGACAGTATCACATGTCTGTTCACTTTTAGACATTGTTTTAGAAACCGCTTTTAGCCTCCATGATAGGTTATTAGACTCATGGCCCAGGTTTCCACCTTGACCTTTTGTAAGGTAAAAGGAAACCTGAGTAATTAGTTCCATAAATCAGCTTTCTTGCTCACTTTCCCCAGTGCCTGTGTTCTAATTATCTGCATCTTGAGGAGATACTTTGAACACACAAGCAACCTGCCATTCTACTGGCTCTAGATATCTAGATTTGGCTCATTAACAAATGTTAAGTATCTGCCACAAAGCCAGCCTTTGATAAATAGGGTTTCTAACACGTTTTCATGTAACTAGTAAATCACCATTGGTGGAAAGGAGAACATTAGAATCAGGAAATGTTGTGATTTATTTCTCTCTCAATGCTGTGATTACTGATTGATACATTCAGCCAACATTTATTGAGCACCTACTGTGATAGAAATAGCACTTCATTCTGTTAAAAATAATCTGTTTCTTTTAAACTCCCTAAACTAGGTTTTAACACATAAGTTAATGGTACTTGGAATCAAATATTTTAAAACAAAATATCTTAATCATCTCTCTTTTGCAAGGAAGGTTTTTTTTCTCATTTTAAAAGGATTTTTTTTCCTTTTTACAAACAGGATAATCATTTGGCTTGTGTTGTCAACAGATTCATATGAATGTTTCTTATAAATGTCAAATATATAGGAGCAATGTTTTTCTCTCCCCAGATTTCTCCTGAATCTCAGGTTTTTATAAATTTGCTATTTTGTAGATCCTATTCATCAGTATTTGTTTATTCATAACCATTTCTCAAGGCCTTGATATTTGCTCAGCTCCATATTTTGTGCCCTACTGGGACAGGCTCAAATCCATCTGTGACAAACAGAAGCCTCAAAGAATATATCCAAAGAATAATGTCAACTTTAAAGGTTATATAAATTCCTGGAGCTGTACCATCTTATTACCTTTCTATTAAAATGTCAACATCTTCTCCTATACTTTTTCACTTTGCATCTTGGTCAGACACCTTTCTACCTTGAGATTAAACTAAATCTCTTGGTTCAGACAACCCTGGAGTCAAACTTCTGCTCAACATCCTATTGGCTGAATGCCTTTATGGTACTCTGGGCAGTGTTTTCATCTGTAAAATAGGGATAATACTCTACCCACAGGACTGGGTTGCTGTAAGGATTAAATGTAAAGTATACAGCATATGCCTGGCACAGAACAAGCAGCCCATTCTTGTCACCTGTGAATTTCAGACTTGTTTGTATCATTACTCAATAATCATCTTTCGTTCCACCCTGTTAAAGTGTTTCAATCAGTGACTATTCAATGAACTTTTTAATAAATATATAACACAATCAGGGATGAGTCATAGCACATTGGGACTGCTTTTCAGCATACATGATTTTAGGAAGGAACTATTCCAACACCATTTCTTCATGTGATCACTGCAGTGTACTCAAAAAAGAAGGGTTTGGTTCTTTCCTGATAACAAAGAATAAGAGAAGATGAAATTACTATAAGAGTCAGTAACTTAAGTATAAAAGATATATGAATATATGGGAATGAAAAATACATATACAGGTTTTTTTTTCACAGAGCCTTTTTACTTTAAGCCCAAACTTGATTCCCAGGTACAGGGCTCTGTAACTTTCCTTGGCATTGAAGTCATGAAGTCTCCTGTCCTCTAAAGCCACGGCAGTCTGCAGTGGAAGCAAGCAGCACGCGCTAAGCACAGCACAGTGGGAACCCCGGGGCGTTCGCCGCTGCTCCCACCTGTAGGCCAGGTCATTGTGACGCAAATGCTTTGGACACGTGGCACACCTGCGGGAGAGCAGGGGCGGGGTCACCCTGGGCGGCAGATCCGAGCGGGGTGTACCCTAGGAGATGGGGGTCGAGGAAAGACCCCAGGGAATAGAGAGAGGGAGACTCACTCCCCCAATCCCGGACCCGCCCCAAACAAGGTGAGGCCATCGCCCTCTCCCTCCTCTGGGTCCCTGGGTCTTGCTGGGAGGGGTCGCCCGCCGGGGATTCTTCGGAGGGGAGAAGTGGGGAGGGGAGACGACGGTGGGGCCCCGGCTCCTGGCGCTCGCGGAGAGGCGAAGGCGCCCGCTCCCCCCGGCCACTGCGCTGCGCTGCGACGCTCACGGGTTCCGCCGGCTGCTATTCCGGCTGGCGGCGACCGCCGCAGGAAGGGCCGGTTCCTGCGCTCCCCCCGCCCCCTTCCCTCGCCTTCTGCTGACGCCGACGTCGGATGAGGGAGCTGGAGGGACGCTCGGATCGCGGCCGGGAGGCTCCTAGGGGCCGAGGCTCCGAGGTACCTGCCCTACGGGGCCGTCGCGAGGGCGAGCTGGGCGGGCTGCAGGCTGCATTGGGAGACGCCCGGCAGCCGGGGCGGTCGGGGGCCTGGGGCTGCCAGCCCTCCGCGGGCGCCGGTGACAAGCAGGTCGCCTCCTCCTGCCCCCCTGTCCCTGTGCAAGAACCGCCGCAGCCCCTTCCCCTTCCCCGCCGCCGCCCTGGGGCCTGGGAAGGTCTGGAGGATGCGCGCGCGCCTCGAGAGCGCGCGTCAGCCCCGGTGGGGCGCGGAGGGAAACGTTCCGCGCTCCAGCCCCATCTGTGGACCCGGCGTTTGCAGCACCCCCTTCCCCGCCCACCCACCCCACCCCACCCCACCCCACCCACGCAGTGCCTCGCCTTCCCAACGCCTCCGGCCCCAGGACCCCGAGGTCCCTCCTGGGCCGGGACTTGCGTCCGGGGCTGACTTGTTGACGAGTTCACCTGCCGCGGCTCCTGGTGTTTGCTTTTTCTCTTCCTTTAGCCCGTCTTTGGCGGAGGTGGCAGGGAGCAGATGGGTACTCTTTATAATCACTAGTACCGGGAGGCCTGAGCGTGATCTCCCGCGGGCGAAGTGCTCACCAACCTCGGAGCCGACTGGAGCGAGAGTCCCTAAGCAGGCCAGGTCCTTGCCAACCCTGGCGCGCCCGTTTCCTTTAGGTGCTGCTGACACCGCCTTTCCTGCCTCGCGGCTATCGCAGCTCCTGCTTCCTCTAGAAAGGAACATATCCTGTTACCGCGTCTGCCTTTGCCCAGAGCGGCTCCCCATTAACGTTTCCCATTGCCTTTTTACTTGGAGTGCCCCGAAGGCCCCTCAACTTCTCTTTGGGGGTCTTAAAAATAGTGCGTGCGCCCTTTCTCTGGCGAAAGGCATTAACTGGCTGGTTGGGGGAGAGTTCTAGTTCAAAAAGGGAATCAGGTTCTCTTCTGTTTAGATAGCATAAAAAATTATCACGAGAAAGGGTGCTGGGTGGCAGCCTTAGTAACTGAGATCTGGTAACTTTATACAAATTATCAGGGCCTGGAAAATGTACCACCAGCTGGTTTGAAAATGCTATTGAATGTAGGAAGAAACGCACATAAGGCATTGGCCATTAAGGTCCTATAAATTACGACTCATTGCAAACATGTTCATGTCTAAACATTTCAGTAAAGCCTCGCCAGAAAAATGTCAGGTTGGTTTCTGTGGACCTTTAGTTTTTCTGAGATCTGAACTGTTCCTTGGGGTGGGGGAATGAAATAGGAAACGCTTATTAGTTTGAAATCTGTGCTCCAGACTCAATTTCTTACCTTCTGTTTAAAACACACATTTTTTACTTTTGAGTGAATTTTCAAACCATTCTTTTTGTTTTTGTTGTTTTAGGTTGCAGTCTTTATTTTTGAAACATCATGTGTAGAGAATACCATAGGGGCAAAATCAGTTTATAATCCTTAATACTTTGATTATCATTGTTTGGTTTCAGACTGCCATGTATATATTTAATTTAAGGAGATGTAGCTTTCTAATTGGATCTTTTTTGCATCACATAGGTAAAGAGTTGTACTGTCATTAAAGATGAATCTTTAGAAAATGACAGTTAAGCTACTGAGTACTCATTATAATAGTAGAGAGACCCAAGGCTAAAAAAAACTGACCTTGGACACTCCATCCATGGGGCATTACATGCTAAAGACACTGGATGGTAAATGCCTAGCAAGTTTATTTTATAGCTGTCTTTGCTTCATTTGGTCCGCCTGAGACCCTATCTGACTGCTTTCTCTGAGCATCTTTATTACCATGCATTTCTCTCCACATCAACCTTATGAAAAAAATGGACAATTTTGTTACTCAAAAGAAAACCTTCAAAACTGCTGTATTTTCAGTGTATTTGACTAAACAATACATTTTTTTTTCAGGTGCAGGCAGTTTTATCAGAGGAAGAGAAGTGTGGCAACTGTGAAATGACAAGGCAGGGTAAACCTGTATTGGTGTGAACTTTTAAGTTATAGAAACCTCATACAGGAGAAGGTGGTGAAGTTAATAGGCCACAAGGATCAGGAAGGATTTTTCCTCTTTATTGGTTGAGCCCCACATCTAGAAGCCTGAGGGTAGGTGGCAACGTTTAGGATCAGTGCACCGGCTACTAATGTCCTTTTTATTCCATCTGCACTATCAGATTTATGGGAACCATGGACAAGGATGCTATCTGTATGTTTTTGTCCATGAGTCAACATAGATCACTAATTAATTAACCTCATTCGCATCCTCACCCCCATCCAGAATCTGCCTCAGCAAAACCTTTAACTCCAATACCGATACCTACAGGAGGAACATTTTTTTCCTCAAGCTGTCACGTTTTATACCACTATCATATTTAATGCCATGGAGGATGGGCAGAGGATAGGTTTTGGATCCCAATAGAGCAGAATTGGAACCCCAGCTGCAACACTTAATTAGCCATGTGACCTTGAGCAAGTTACTTAAGCTTTTTTCTTTTTCTTTTTTTTTTCGGTACGCGGGCCTCTCACTGGTGTGGCCTCTCCCATTGCGAAGCACAGGCTCCGGACGCATAGGCTCAGCGGCCATGGCTTACGGGCCCAGCCGCTCTGCGGCATGTGGGATCTTCCCGGACCGGGGCACGAACCCGTGTCCCCTGCATCAGCAGGCGGACTCTCAACCACTGTGCCACCAGGGAAGCCCTATATATTCTTTTAAAACAAAGCCTTTCTTCTCTGTGACTGTAGGCCAGTTACTTTGGATAAGTAACTGATTTTGAGCTTCATCCATAAAATGAGGATGATGTCCACTGGACAGTGTTGTCAGAATAAGCATACTGTGCACGAAGCATTCATGTCAGTCTGAGAAGTAGTAATTCCTCAACTAATGGTAATTACTTGTCTCAGTGTAAACCTAGGGAGAGAATGAGTTCATGGAAAGCTGAGAAAATGGCATTGCTCATGATAGGAAGTCTCTCCTCCTAAGTCAGATGATGTCGTTCATCAGGCCTTTGGCCAAATCAGAGGAGTGGGGTCGCTACTGAGTTTTCAGCAAGCATTTGTTATGTGTGTGTTATATGCCATGCATTGTTCCAGAACTGGGAATCCCAAGACAAGACCCAGACTCTACACTGCTCTGGAGGAGCCTGCAGCCTAGTGAGGGAGATCAAGGGGTCAGGTGACAATTACATTTCAGGAAAAGTGGGGAGGGAATGAAGCCCAGGGCAGAGGTACCCAACCGACAGGAGAGAGAGCAGAGAAAACCTGAGAAGATTTGTGGAGGAGGTGACCCTTGAGTTAAGTCTTAAAGGGCCAGTAGGAATTTGGCAGGTCAGAAAAGGTTGGGAGTGGAGAGAGAGAGTTCACCACACAGTACCCAGGTATACAGAGGGAAAGAATACTGGCAAATAGTCCTCATGCCTGGAGCCCAGTATGCATGTGTATCCCTCATTAGCTGAGTGACCTTGGGCAAGTTTGATCACCTGTGAATTGAGAGGCTTAAATGTATTAATCAACGTAAGCACAGGACTGATTTCAATTATGTGGTCTATAGTCATGGAGAGGTGGTAGAGGTATTAGTAGAAAATAAGGGACTGACATTAAAAAGTCATTAGAATTAGAGGAAATTAAAGAGGTCAGCTTTAGAATACGTTTAACAGAAATTACATAGAATTAAAAGAGGGTGACTGAAAAAGACAACTGAATGCATGACTGTGGGTGGGAAACACGAGGTATATATATTCAGTGATGGACCAATGAATATATAGATAATGGTATATTGCTAGCCCTGAGAGTCTAGACTTGAGAGTGGGAAGTTCCTCTCATTCTGTGGTGTATTTGTACAACGAGTGACTGTAAAGTTTTGCAGCTATTTTCCCAGAGCACACATTAAAATCCGTCATCATGATCTCTCACACCCACCCACTTCTCTGTTCCCAGGGTAGGGCATGGAAACCTAATGGTACGTGGGGGAAATCCAGCCTTCTCTGCATGTTTCTGGGGTAGCGCATCCTAAGCCAGGGACCAAGGAGCTAATTGTGATAAATGGTGCCCCGCTCTTCTTATGGGTAGGAACCCTGATAGCCTCCAGGAGTCTTCAGCAAGGTTTTGTTGTGCACAAGCACCGTGGTGGTAATGGATTTGGGGCTAACACAGCGCCTGAGCCTGTGATTAGGAGAGATTGTTTTTATAGAAACCAAGCCCAGTATCCAGTCCCTTTGGTCCAGGAGTAGAGTGGAGTGCTTAGAAACAGGAGTTCAGAGGTCAAAAGCAGCCTTGAATTTACTAGCTGTTGACTTTGGGCAAATTATTTCACCTTTCTAAGCTTTTTTTCTCACTTGCAAAATGGGGTTGTATCCCCTTCTGGTGTGGGCATTAACTCCAAGTGCTTCACACATGTAAAATGCCCCATAAATGGTAGCACAAAATTATTGCCCTTTGTCCAGCACATATTTACTAAAGGCCTACTGTGTTTCAGGTTCTGTGCTTGGTGTAAGGAGGCAAAGATGAACCAGTTAGGGTCCCTGCCTTCAAGGGACTTCCAGGCTAGTGTGGGGCATGCAGATGTAATTAGCTCATCACAGGAGAATAATGGGAGTGCAAGGCACCACTAGCATCAGTGTGGAGCAGGAGGGCAGGTGCTGGGTTGGGGAAGACTTCACGGAGGAGGTGACATTTGAGAGTCTTGAAATAAGATGTTAAGTTTGGCCAGTTGGACAAAGGAGGGGAGGTCACTTCAAATGGAGGGAAACTTTGCAAAGCCTTGAAATGAGATAGTATATTCAGGAAAGTTCTCGCATTCTGAAATGACCAGAAGGAATAGTTCTGTGTGAGGTGAATATTTTTGGGAAGGGGCCAGAATGTGAAGGGGCTTGGTTTTTTTGCTACAAAGTTTGGACTTTCTCTATGGACAAGAGAAGGCAATTAAAGCGTTTTAAGTAGGAGGATGGTATGATTAGATTTGCATATTATAGAAATAGTTCAGACCATGGTGTAAAAGATTGGAGTGGGCAGATACAGGGATGGTTTTGCCTCTGAAGGCCTAGACTAAGCCCTGGCTGTGAATCTAGAAAGGAGAAGATGTATTTAGTAGCCTTTTAGGAGGTAGAATGGAGAGAACTTGGAGACCAGCAACTAAAGATGAGAAAGAAGTCAAGTTTCCAACTTGGGCCACTCAGTAGATTTTGTGCTGGTAATTAACATAGGGACCACAGAAAAAAGAAACATTTGGGGGTGGAGATGGAGAGAGATAATTTTAGTTTTAGAGGTGCTGAATTTGAAGTGCCTATCGGACATCCAGGTGAAGATGACCATAGGAAAATGGAGAGTTAAACACCTCTCCAGAGCACCAAATCCACATTTTGATCCCCCTACTGTAGTCTCTGGAGAGGTGTTTAATTCTGGAAGTTGTTGGCATACAGCTGTTGGTTGAAGCCACAGAAGTGGATTAAATCACCTAGAGGGAGCAAGTAAAGTGTAATAGAAGATGGCTAAGGTTGGAACCTTGTAGAGCAATGATATTCAAGATATCATTGCACACAGAGGGAAAGGAGCTAACAAAGGAAACTGAAAAATTACCAAAGTGTAGAGAATGTTTTCTGAGAAGTCAAGAAGGGGAGCTTAGTCAAAGGTCAAGTGAGAGGAGGACTTGAGTTGGGTTCCTGGTGAAAACCTTTCTCTGGTGTGGTGGAGAAAGGAACCAGACTGTGTGGGCATAGAAGAACTTTGTGAAGAGAAGGAAGAGGATGGTAACTGGAGGAAGAAACAGGTTGGAGGATATGGGTTGATGGCAGAAAGGGAGGTTGATTAACTTGAAAGAGAAGGGATAATAGATGGACCAAGGTGGGAAGGGGCAAAAGGGTAAGACCTGTCCCTTCTGAAGAGAAAGGAACAGCAGTGGTTATAGTCATGGTGCTGGATGGTTCCAAAGAAGTGAGTAGTGGTGATGAGTGGAAGCCGTGAGAGAAGGGGCCCAGCACAATGCCCAGGGCCGTGATTCCGCATAGAGCATGAGGAGGAAGGCTGGTCATCACCACCCTGGGGATTCTCCTTCTACCTGCTGCTCCCTGAAGGCCAGGAGTTGAGTGTCCTTGTATCTAATACTCTTTCCTCCGTGTTGCCGTAGGCAGCATGGGCAACATTGTGAAGTAGGTAAACTTTGTGTTGGTACCAAACCACTTGCCTCTTTCTGTTTCCTGCTTCTCTCTTCTTTGCACTCCTGACCTGAAGCTCTGTGCCTTTGAGCTACTTCCTGGTGGTTCTACCTGGTTATGCTACGTGCCTTACCAGGTATATGTCCAATGGACCTGTCTTTCCTGATTCCCACCAAAATAATTGGTCTTGTGCCTTATTTGCTATGAATAATGGTTAATAATTTATTCACTATTAATAATAACAGCACTATTGCTGCCGTTTATTCCAGTAATCGTCTTCCCTAAGAAAGTAGCAAGAACCTGGAAAAGGGATCTTGTATTAGTTCTCAAATAACACCAAGTAGATGACCCAAGGGTGGCTCTGTTAATTGGGGTACGTGAAAATACAAAGCCCTCTCTTTCTGCCCGCTTCCCTTTGCTGCTGACTTTTATTTAAAAGTCCTCCTCCTGCATCTCCCTCCCCTGCCTGGGCTGCCTTCATCCCTTGCTCTTAAACCAGCCCAAACTCCAACATGATTTAGGGGCCACTACTTTACCAAGGAAGGTCCTTGAATCCGTGCCGTTTCCAGAGAAAGGAGCTGTGTGGGTTTGTTTACAGGACCTGTGCACAGCATAGATATTTTATAAACCACGTACTGGTGTATGTGTGTTTCAGTAATTTAAAACTAATGAAAAAAGCTTACTCTGTGCCTTGGGAAATTTCCTTCAATCCTGGGCCTCAGTTGGCTCATCTATGAAAGGGGAAGATTGGACTGAATGATCTGTAAGTTCTCTCCTATCTCTGAGTGATCCTGAGGAGGCCTAAGAAATTACTTGATCATCTCTTTAAGAGGCTTTCAATTATGAATTTAACCTTAAAGAAAGAGAACTTTGTAAACAGTAGTATCTCCCAAATTGTTCTGATTGTTGACATCATCCTTATGTGTAATTTCATATAGGTGTCGTCACTACATTCACATT